ATCTCAGATGCACAGGGCTGCTCAGAGAATCTCCTCTTATTGCAGACAACCAGAACTAAAACCTTGAAGTACTTTTTGCTCTGCAGCCCACTTTTCAGGGCTAAGTACCAAGTTTTCTCCCTACACATTCAAGAAATACTCTGAAATTACTTTCAATAATAGAGAAAATAATGATTCTTTTAAAGATACCTTGATATTTCTTTAATTATTAGATTGTTCTCCATTACTGCAGTGATGTCATAACTAGATTTGTACTTAGCAAGCCAGTCCAAACTTCTTAAAAATTCTGTATTCTTTAATATTCTACTGATGTCTCCACACCGTTTTAGTACAAAGCATGTATTTTCCAGTCATATTTATTAAAAGAAATCCATCTATGGACCTGAAATCATGCAAAGGAGGTTCTTTTGGAGACTAATTTTTTTTTGTTAAATTTATAAGTCAAACCCATTGAAAGGAATACATCTAGTACTATATTAGGATGAGAATGGGACACCTGAACTATTTCATATTTTTTTATGTTGAACTTGACAGGGTTCATGGCTGCTATACTAGAAAAGTAGATCTCACCTGTTCCACAGGTTATTCAGAGAGCAAACAAATTTTTATTTTTTTATGTTCATTATAATGAGGCCATCTTCTTTTACATGTTTCTTGTACCTGGTTTAAAATTTTCAGAAGAAAAGGCTGAGAAGACATGTCAAATGAAACCGAGGTGTTTCCTGTGGAGTCTACAGATGGAGAGAGATTTATGAAAAGTCTGCTATATGTCTTCATACATCACATTGTTATGATGTCTTTCAGCAACAGTACCAAAGAGGCAAATTTCATCCTATTTCCAATGTATTCAAAGGCCCAGTTAAATATATTTGGTCTGATGAAAGTGTAATATGTGCAAGGAATATTCTCTGGAGTATGGCGTGCAGACAATTACCAAAGGAAAATCTAGCCATACCCAGTTTGCCTCAGGGATGACGATTCTTACATATATGCTGAGAAAACATTGTTTCCAAGATACTTAAACATGGATTGAGATAATTCCATGTTATTTTTACAAAGCTAATTTTTAAGGTTAAAACACAATTTTAAAACAAAAGAATTCTCTTTGTGTTGAGTTTCCTAAAAGGAATACAAATTCTGAATAGCAGTATACGTGGGTGGGACATCCATGCTTAATTGAAAGCTGTATGAAACTAATGACACCCATGTGACTAATCTTCAGTAAAGGAAATGAACACCGTAAAATAATTCAGCAAACCTGTAGAGACGCAGGGTGCCCCTTTATTGAATGTAAAGATTACATTCCTTGGCACTAGACTTAAAGGAGTGGTTATTTAATTCCTATGTATTTTATCCTTCTGGGAGATAAATAGACAACTACAGCATGCAAGAATAATAAATCTATTGGTGAAAATAAATCTGATGTTTTAAAGCAGTTATCGTTCATTATTGGTTTGAGCAAAAGTCTGAAGGTCCTACATCTAGTGGACTTCTGCCAAATAACACCAATTGTGAAACTTTACCCCTGTGGCTTCCAGGCTATTCTCTTTTATGTTTCTATAATAAACTGCAACCACCTCAAGACAGAGACTCCAGTGCACATCCTCAGGAGATGACAATCACAGACAATCATAGCTGGGTATTAATCCTTCCTCTGTGTACTTTGTTCATCTGTTCTTATACACCTACCAAGTGACTGAACTTTAGCAAGAGCCAACACTTCACAACATCAGCTAGTAAAATTGTCAGATTTCTTTCAAAGTTATTGCAGCTATAAAGATTTCCTGGAGTGGCACATATTTTTAAAATCCTTTGGGTGAGATCTAAATATGTCTAATGGAACAGTTCAGTACAAGAGAGCACTCCCAAGCAAAGCACAGTGCTGGGAGGGTGTATGTACATACTTGGTACAGCTTCAGCTCCCCTCCTTGTTATGCCTCGGGTTCTTCAGAGCACATCTCTTGGTAATAACAGGAGAATCTAGTGTGACAAGTATCACTTTATAAATTTAATTGTGTCACTTCCTCAACAGAAGCACATTATCCAACTGAGTATATAGGATCTGTAGGGTAGATTCAGTACTGTAATACTAAATTCAGTGGTGATCAAGTCCTTTAGACTGAAAGAGAAATCTATGTCTACACATTTCTTCTCTTTTCCTGAAAGTCCATTTCCTATATGAATGTTACCATGTGATGTAATTATTTAGCATGTAATTATATCTTTTGGTTTTTACGCATTTTAATTGATATTTAGGTATGTTTCAGAGCAATATTGTGAATTAAAACAATTTCCTGTAATTGGTATGACTTGTACTTAAAGTTTGGTACAGTGTATCTTTTAAGCTTGTACTGATGGGAAACAAAACTTAGAAAAATCTGAAACCACTGGAAATCATGCGAAATAAGAAGAATGGGGAACTGTTGAATTGGTTGAGATTGAATGAAGCTTTACTCACCCCTTGGACTAAACATTTTTTTCCTGTTTTTTCATCTGTACTTATTTCTGGGACACCAGAAGATGAAAACATCAGAAACCTCTTTTCATTACAACATGAGCTGTTTTTCATTTCCTTACGAAAGCATAACCTGGAAAGAGCAGCTCACTGCCTAAAGCAATATTTTGAGTCAAAGAAATTAATTCAGAGAAAAAAACTGTTTCTCATGATAAATGCAGCCTCTAAGGACACAAATCTTTGCTGCAAGCACCTGAAAATCTGTTTAAGTGCAATGGGACAGTCACTCCCTGGTGGTGAAGCAGAGGTAGCACACTCAGCAGGCATTGAGTATTCCTTTGCTGGACCTACTTGACACACTTTTATCGAGGAGGGGTTTAATCACAGTGTATATGACTCCTGGAAGTATCTCTTGGGATTACAGTGTCTGATTTTTCCACCAATGATTTTTAAAATTTGCCTTCTGACTTTGAGTTGCTTGTGTATATCCATTTCTATTTTGCAAAATAGAAGCTGAAGTGAATAACTAAAGATAAAAAATGTCTTCACCTCAATATTTTTACTAGCCATCTGCTAGAGGTATATGTTAGGATTTTGGGATGATGTTTTATTCTAATCAAATTTCAAGCACTGTTCCTGGTTTTGTTTTGTTTCTTTGAAAATGTGTGTCCAAGTGGAAGTCATAAACAAAGAACATTCTCATTGGTTACCACAAAATTATCACAAGTATATGTCCTGTTCTAATTGCAAGGGAAACAGTCGTGATCTCAGGTTTTTCATGTGGTAACTGTTGGCAAATGGAAATGTTTAATGTTAACCATAGTATATTTATTTCAAGTCACTTGCTTAAGGATAATGTGTTCTGTGCAGATAAGTTTTGAAGTGAAGTTCCAGCTACAAGCTGTTTTAGTATATAATTTAAATGTATTTTCAGTAAATACTATTTTTGCCTTGCAAACAGATGCAATGTTTATCCTTCCTGCGTTAAAATCCTACTTTTTGTTTGTTTTTTTAATTACTTGGCTAATGCTGCAAAATCTAACACACAAGGAAGAGACATTTTCTATGTTTAAATAGCATATAGGAGTCAAATTCCTCAGAAAAATCCAGATCTTCCCTGAATTTATGCTCTTGCTTTTTCAAACATGTGATATAACATTTTGTTAAAATAATTAATTGTTCAGGGGGTTGAGGGCTCTGGGATATATTATTCTTTTGAATATGCCAAGTTATTCACTTGTAAAAGGGAGAGCTACTCAATAAGTTCAGGTCTTTGAAAAGTTTGAGCAATTGCTGCATGATGTAATCTGTATCTAAACTACAATCTGCATGTTATATTGGAAGGAAAAATTCAATTTACTTACTATTTTGAAAAAAACAGTGCACTAAAAATGCTAACAAAAATTCATTATAGATGCACATTGAAATATCTGGCGGATATAGCAAATTGAGTGTCAATTACTTGAATGCAGAGTACCTATAAAATTTTTGTTGCATATTCATCCAAGTCATTCTGTGGAAATAGAGATGCACGACATGGAGCTGATTACTGCCGTTCACCAAGAAACAATGTTAAGATGGTCAAAGCACTTAAAATCTCCACCAACTTTCTGGTAAGACTCCCCTTGACTTCAGTGGGATGAAAATTTCTCCCTACCTCTATCTATAATCTACAAGTAGTGTCTTTAGAACGGCTCCAAAATAAAACCAGCAAGCTAAAAGCTGCAGCCCCAAACCATGGGCAGAATGAGGCATGAAGAATATTGTGTGTTTTACAAATAAACCTGGAGGAGAAGTTTATGAACACAGAATTAGTTTTTCTAGATTCACTTTTAGGCAATGTATTGAGGTCAAGACCAATTCATTTTCAAAAACTAACCACCAGATCTTTGTTCCCACTGATAAAGACATTCACACTTATCTCTGTATAAGGGCGAACCTACTTGTAGATTCTTTTCCTGATGTGGTCTGCTGGAATATTGGTTTATATTTATTTAGAGGAAAGAGTGCTTGATGCTGAATCACGCAAAATTTCCCTTAGCAACATAATGTCCAATGGAAGTCTTTCACCTATATCCCCATGTATCTCCATTAGAGCTGTCAACTTCTTGTCACCATTTCATGCGGGCCCAGGGAGCAGAGTGAAATGTTGCTGATACAGACACAACTGATCTCCATAGGTGCAAAGCAGCTGCTGTGAAAAGCTGAGCTTTACTTTCCATTAGCTTCTCAGGAGGAAGTGGGGGATATGCAAAGCATTCACTGCACACTGAGGCTGATCCCTAACTTCTCCTTAACCTTTCATTTTCCTAACAGTCTTTCAGCAGAGGTGAAAACACACTGAGAGACAGAGTCTAATAATCACATAAAGTTACATGGAATTTCCTCTTGGACAACCACAAGGTTATATCATCCAGGGACCTAACTGTATTTATGGAATATAGGCAACCTATATCTCCTTTCCTTCAGGCTTTAAAAACAAACAGTCTTACTTCAAAATACACAACTGCCACACTGTGCCTCGCACCATTTGGAGACACCTTACCTTGCAGTGTCTGCAGCCAAAGACGTTCGTGATGAGGAAGGGAGCCTTCATTTTCCCCTAATGCACCCTCTCAGGCACTGTCACCTACAGAGCACAGAAGAATTCTGTAAGTTTGAAGTGTTGAGTACTGGATTGTGAGACTTTTGGCAATATACAGTGGTGGACTGTATATTATTTCACAAATTTATTTCATAGAAAATTACAAACTACATAAAGCTTTTCATTAATAACTCATACTCTTTTTAAAGATAAATGGAAGGTATCTGAATTAATTCTGGTACAAGCCAGAAATTACCAGTCAAGACATATGAAATATACAATTTCTGTGGAAAAAAAAAAAGAGGATTCTATAAGTCTTCCTTTTCTGGAGGTGAAATGTCTCTAGGAGACTGTTTACTCCATTTTTTTTCAGGAGTCAGGAGGTTAAGAGATCATACCAGGACAATTTTGCTAGCATCTGTGAGTGGGAAACTAAAATAGGCCTAACTTTATGAATATGCAATCCAAACAGTCTGAGTTTGAAATATCAGACATAAATAGTGGACAACTAGAAACCAAGCTAAAGTTGATTATTATTCCAAAATCATATTTGATTACTCACTTCATGAGAATTACAAACTGTTCTCTGACAATATAAAAATGGTTACTGCTAAAGTGCATCTATGAGTTACTTAAATCATGACAGTAAACAGTTTGGAAAAACCCCCCACTATTACTCCAGGTTTCAAAGAGGTGCAATATAAGGGGTGGTTTTAAATTTACATATTCATCATTTCATCTGAATCCTCTTCTGGAGGAAGTTCCTACTATTAAACATCATAAATGCTTCCAATAACAATAAGAAAAATATCTGTGTCCATTAGGAAATAGGGGATAATTACCTTGCAGTTTAATGGGCTGGTAAACAGTTGAAATACACAATGCTAATATTTTGTCCCCAAAATAGATGCCTACCTACAATGGTTAAAGTCTATTTACAGTTCTTAGAATAATTCCAATGCATTCAATGATGCAGCATTTCACAATGCCTTGGATGCAACGTCTAAAGCTACCAGTACAACTGCAGCAATGAACTTGGGCTTTTTTCTTTCTTGATGTTTACAGAAAACAATGTCCTCATAATTCAGGGACACAAATCAAAACCAAAGACTAAATTCAGGCTGCAGTTTTAGCACCACCCTGACCACTATGTGGTTTTTTCAAAACCTTTAACTCACAGGAGGCCACATTATCCTTGGGAAGATTTAGTGTCCAAGAGGTAAGCAAGAATTTCTGACATTCATTGAAAACTATGCGGACTTTTCCAAAACCAAACACCACCACTTGGTATTCTTAAGCCAAAATAGTAAACCTGAAATATCATTACAGACCTAGGAATGATGAATAATGTGCCTTCAACTCCTATGGCAATGGGGAAGCTGCATCTACATTACCTACTCCTTCCAATAACAGGGTGGGAAGGTGCAGCAGCAGAAGTGTTTTACTGGTTTTCCTAGGAGCATTCTCTCACTACAATTACACTGTATTTTCTCCTGCTGGCCACCTCCAACTGACTTTCTATCAAGCCATGAATCATGGAGTTTTAATCCAGGTTTGAAACAGAACTTGCAAGGAATTTGAATCAGTATAGCTTTACTGTTTTCCCCTTTCTATACAGGTATATGCCTTTTTCTGTATGCATAACTTACTTCTTTTTTCTAAGTATTTTAACTGAGGGAGCACACAGGAAGATACATTCCATGTCCTGAATTGTTTACAGTAAACCTGTATGTAAGTTGCAAGGAGTTCGCACGCAATGAATCATAAAGGAAAGAAGTGAGGTGGAGCATAAGAATATACTCAAAGTATAAAACATCCCTTCACTGCTCACAATGGTCCTTGGCTTCTCTTAAGATCCTAATAATCATATTTCCATAGCATTCTGCCCATTTTGGCTGCTCTCTCTTCCCCATCCTCTTTTTTCTATGATTTTGTGCAAAACAAAGTTATTAGTTTGATTCATATTTTGACCATAAATTAACTAAATGTTATTGCTTGACAGAAAGAGTAAATCAAAAGGAAACAAATTATTTTTGTTTTCTCCTTCATTATTGTGTTATCCTCCATTATTGTTTTATCCTTCTTCACAAAGACATTCCAAAATACTATTTAGGGGCAGTATCTTAAAGACAATAAGAGATTAAGTAGGTGGAGTCACAGTGCCACTATAACATTCTTTGTGCTTGCATACAGTGGGGACAGTGTCCGATATCTTGAAAAACAGCCACTGTGATACGGAGGACAAGTAAATTCAGCAATATACGCTACTTTGCCATTTCTTGATATTTCTGCACTTCCAGTCTTTAAATCCTGGAGCTGAACATTCACCTATAAAAGAGGTTTCTTTGTTCTCTGTCTATAAAAACAAATAAAATGCACTGAAAACATATGGCTAATCTATTCAGTATGTTTTGAAAAGTATTCTTGTTTTAGTTCCTGAGTCATGGTTAGAGAGGTGTCCTTTCAGCCTAAACCTTCCCCTCCAACCAGATGTGCAAACATGCCTCTTAGAAAAGAAAATTGCTGGAATGGAAAGGGAGAAGTTTAAAACCAATTAGTTTTCAGTATCTCATCTCTTCCCCTGCAATGTCATACATTTGGGCATGTATTTGTGTATACAGTCTGTATTTAGTAAACCTCCATCCTCCCACTTTACTGAAACTCCCTTTTAACCAAAGTTTCCAGAACAAATCACTTCCTAAATTGTTTATAATTTGTCCAAACTTCTTTGCAGTTCCTGCAATAACTTTAAAATTTATGGTGATTTTTGAGCACATACATAATACTTTCATATTAATACACAGACTTTTTTTTTCCAACCTTTTTCAGGGCAAGAAGCAACTTAGGATCTTACCTTTTGAGCCGCATGAACAATGTTGAGCAATATATTCTTTTTTCTATTATGTTTTTAATATAAATATCTCAGAATTATTTAGTGATTTTTTTATCCACAAAACCAAAGTGAAATGGAAGACTAAAATAGTCACTGCCCACAGTCAATGTTTCTGATTTATAATAAACTTAATAATTTTGCTTCATCTGTGCTTTAAGTGCATTTTACCCTGCAAAATAATCCATTACTTGTAACATGAATATATAGAATAAGGATAATAAGAAAACATGCTGCATCTCCATTTTGTAACAACTTAAGCCTGTCTGTAATATGGGAATGGACTCAACTCATTTAGGTGCTTCAATTCTCTTTTTTTTCCAGTATTGCCTTGAAGTTGCTATAATAAATATAGAAATTAAATAAATGCTGTATAAAGGAAGACTTTGGTATTAAAACAAAGAGAATAAGGATTAGAAGTCAATGGGAATTTGGCCACTGGAATGGAAGCTCCTATCCTCTAGGAAGGATAGTTTCAGTGATGACAAAATAAGGCTATTTTATAGATTTCAAGTAACTAATTTTCAAAGTCAATATATTTTAAGTATAATCTAAATGCATTATAAAAGTCCCTTTTTTCAGGGTTCCTTGAAGCTAAACCAGTATCATTGAAGCAGAGGCAAACTCTGGAGTGGATTTAGCAAGGGAATTGTGCAGAAACTAAAAGGTAGTTCACTGAAACCTTTAATTCTTTTCCTGTCCTTCTATCTCAGCAACATCAACAATGGATGAGTTCAAAATAGATCTTTTCTGTCTGCATGTCCCACCTCCCCAAACACTGAAGTCAAACAGCACCTTTAGACTGCACAAGGCCTTCCGATTTGGCCTGCCTTTGACCACTAGTCTCTGACCTCCCCTGAAACAAGAAACAAGGATGCAAATCAGTTCCAGCAAGATATTATCCTTTCTGCATTATTGTCATCTGAAGCGAGAGGAGAGCTTGACTTAGCTCATGTATCATTAAAAACTTTTATTATTTCCATGCTTTGTCAACTTTCAACTGTGCTGTTGAAGGTAGAGGCTCTACATTCCTCTAAGAAACATCAAGCAATAACCCAAAAACCTCAAAATTCATAGGGCAACCTTAAAAATCTAGAAAATCTACTACATAAATCACAAACCCAGGACATGGAGATCCAGTAAAATCCAAGTGCTGCAAATTTATTGCAAGGCTGATAAAGGACTGTTCACAGATGCCATTTCTGTGCTGTACCTTCCCCTGATTTCAGTGAGACTATCTCATGAGAGCAAGCAGATTTCACAGGATTCTCTAATTAGTGATTTTTTAAATTATTATAATTTATAACTTTATATAATCATTATAAGTTCTAACATTTTTAATCCTCCAAAAGCATTTTATCAGCTGTAGCAGAATTACTGAAGCAAAGCAGATGTCCATATACAAAGCTTTATAAAACAAGGTTTATATGAAAAAGCAGTTACCTCAGCAGTTTAAACCGTGTCTGTGCAACACATCAGCCTCAGTTGTCATTTTGACAAAAGTCCAAACTATATGTTACCATTAATGTATGATACATAAAATCACCCAAGAGTAAGCAGAGATGCACCAATTATTGGTATATGAATCCCAATATAACCAGTTAGATGGTGCCTGGGCCAGTTCTGACCCTCGCTGCTGGGCCAAAGGCAGCACTGTGGTGTTTTACCCCAGAGATACCTTGGCTGCTGGAGAGTGCAGCGGGGCACAGACGCAAGTCCAGGCTTGTCAGGACTCCGTTTACCTCAGG